CCAAAGCTGAATCAGTTCGGTGCACCGGTTCTCGACATAATTTGGTCACCGATTTAGATAATGTGGTTTTGAGAAAAACAATTTTAAAGTTTCAAGTCAGATTTACAACCGAATAAATTGCATTGGGGCACAGTATTCATGACTTACGCACCCTTAGAAAAGGATTCTACTACTTTATATCTGCTCCGAAACTTTCAAGACCGTATACTTTAAACGGGCGTAACTCCGCCAATTTTGTTCGGATCAACTTCAGACTTCCACACAACATTTCTAAAATGATGTACTGTAAGAAAATATTAAAACCCAAAATTCGATTTTTTCACAATAGGTAGGCATAACCCTTTAAATTTATTGATTTGCACAGTCTACTTTTAATAAGTCTATTATTTCGAATCCTCTATCTTGCGCAGTGGCTCTAAGAGCTAAAATGTCGGGGTTAGGGAAAAGTTTTTTCGTTTTGCGACATTAAAGGGGATAGAACGATTTTTAAATAGTACCAATTTGTTTACTTGACAATCTAATTTACTATATTGTCATTAATCAATAATACAGTTTTCTCTATTGAAAATTCAGTCTAAGGCTTCAGTGACGAATATCGTTAATGTTACATATTCGACGAACGAAATTACTTTCCCACCAACATAAATTATTTTAGCACTCAGAGCGCTTATCGCCATATTTACATCCCTTTTCGCTTAAAAAATATGATTGTTTATTTTTTTGGCAGTTACATCGTTTACCATTTCAATTCTTCATTTCTGTAAAAACGTGGTAATAGCGCTGGGTTCGAAATGTCGATGAATTAATTTTCTGACTTTAAGCAGAATACAAATTACTGACTTCAATCTTTCTTTTTATGGTTTTATAATACAGAATGCTTCGAAAAAATATTAATGCTTATATAGAAGTAACTTTTTTAGAAAAACAAAGCTGATAAGACAGTATAAACAAATATATTTTGTTTCCAAAAGGTCTCCACTTATTCATCGTCATTGTCGACACATTCTTGCAATTTTCTCCAGGTGAAAGGAAGAAAGAACAACGTATATATGTATAGGTATACAAATTCTTCATATACATGTTAACGTTTATTCGAAGCACTTTTTTACTCGCCTTCATTCCTCAACAGAAATTTATTTCAATTAGATGAATGGGAGGGAAAGAGGAAAAGTGGAAATGAAAAGAAAAAGTAAAGAATTCCGATTATCCGTATTAACAGGGTGTCAAATCCGTTCTGATAATTGATATTTTGACGTTTCCAATAATCAATGTTTTACGGTTACCTACTGAAAATGTGTATTGAAAGAGATTCAAGAGAATGTAATATCTTATTAAAATTGAACTTGATTAAAAATTTGCTAAACTGTCGGTTTTTAATTGTGAAGTTGGCAAGAATTGTTGCTAATTTTAATATGAACTAATTTGGGATCATGTTATAAATTAACTTTTAATTTTTTAAATATCTAGATTTTATAAAATATTGGACAAGACATGGTATATTGACCGTTACTTGATTAAAATTTGTTATTGGCCCTAGACGCGGTTATTAATAGATTTCCATTGATATTAATCTCGAAGTTTCTCGTTGCCTTGGTTATTTGGATTGTGAATTGTAAAACTCCGCGAGACGGAAAAACGTCCACGTTTCGCATAGGGTAATGTGTCTAACGTTATTGATTTCATTTGAAGGGTGACTATAGTTTCTGCCTAGCCTAGATAATACGCAAAGAGTTAACACGTGACCTTACCGGAAATGGAATAGTAGAAAAATTTAAATTGTGAATTATTTAGAAAATGGAAATTGTAGAATTTGTTCGTAACAGTTTCTATTACAAATGCGAATTACTATGCGAGTATTCGTATACGTATTCCTTGTCTACTTAAGACAAAGTATGTACTACAACATCATAAAACAGAATATTATTCAAATGGAAAGAATTTCAAAGAAAAAATTCAATTTAAACCTCAATTAATAATAATTCACATAAAAGATTCTCAAGTGATTAGAGTTATAAAATTCCTGGCACATTACCAATCAATATTTCTAATTTTAAACCTGAAATCAATAATTTTACAATTGTCAATTACAGTACAAAGTGATTAGTGTATCTGTAATATTTATCATGCAGCAATGTAATATTTTTAATAGGTTTAATATATGTGCACAGAAAAATCTTCTTTTCCTTGGAGACAGAAGAATATTTTGAATTTTCGAACGGCAATGTAGAATCGTAATTGTCCCTATTTGGATTCTTCAAAAAATAGGAAAATATAAGGTTTTGGAAACTTTGGGTCTCAAGGGTCATAAATCAATCACCCTTCGACCCAAGTCCATACTCCAACCAAACAACCCCTACCGTAAGTTCACAACGACCAATCAGCATTCTCTACGTTATCTACTCAAAAAGCAAGCGACCCTTACTCAATCAGTATCGATCTTGTACTCGGACAGTAAACATCGTGTTCATTTACAAAATGAAGTTAAAATTCAAGAAGTTAACTATTGTTCACTCATTAGAATCCAATACTAGCTATCAGGTATAGTTTTGTGAAAAACATATATTGTCGGTGAAAAGTTTCCGACCACTTCGACAATTATATCGAACATGTGAATTAATCAAAATGAAAAGCTGAATTGCAACAAGATTTATATTTCTAATGGAATACTGGTATATTTTATTAAGAAAAATAACACTAATTTTCAGTGCATGCGTTTATTAAACACAACAATGGTAAAGGTAATATGAATTGTCGTTAAAGACTCCATACGATTAATCAATACGTGTCATATACAGTGAATGTTTTTATTACAACAACTACCTACCTGTACTGGTGCCAAAAATTTCACGGTGACTTTTAATAAAGTGGTATAATACGGTGACTTGTAATTATCGTATCTACTTCAAAATAGGACGAAATAGTCACCTTCATATAATTACAGTAATTCAGATTTAATTTGCTTAAAGTACCGTGGACAGTCATGAAACCTAGGGGAACTATAAACGTAGGATACTATAGTCACATATAAAACTGATTTTATATCAACTATTTTAGAACATGTTCGTATATTAAGGAACATATTTGAGGAAATAGATGGCGATCGAAAACTTTTCGCCAGCAGTGTATCTACGTTAAGGGGGTACAGGATTATCCAAGTGTGAAGCAATCGTTTCTTTTTTTATATTATTGATTATGAAAGCCTCACCTTTTGTAAACATTTACAAAAACGTTCCACGAGAAAATTCGAATTATTACGGAAGTTAGAGCACTGAACGTAGCCGTTCATCTCGAAATAACATTTTTAGACACTGTGTACATCATAACTTTTGAACGAATGAATATTTGCATTTGAAATTTAAATTAGAAGTGTAAAATTCCTTTCTCTATATGGTGGAACTTCCGCGTTCACATTGGATAATCGTAAAATTTAAAAAAAATCATTAAACACAATTTTTTCCCGTGATAATTTGAAAAAAAGATTGATTCGTTTGTAACTTTCATAATTTTTGCTTAAATTTGCCAGTAAAATTTCACGCTATAGCCGTTGGTGTAGAAATTATTTACTCCAAAGTATTTTGTGTTTAGACAATTAGTTCACCAGAAACTATTTACACAAGTTATAGCTTCGCGCTACGCAGGACCATCTTCAGTACTTGATAATTTAACCCTTACGATACTATCGGTAACTATAGTTACCCATCGTCGCACGCCCTCTGTGTCCTACTGGTGACTATAGTTAACCATCGTCGTACGCTCACTGTGTCCTACCGGTGAAAAAAAAAAACAGAATTAAATTGTTAAACAACTTTTAAAATCTGAATATTTTAAGATGCATTAGGCACATTGTAATATCGAAAGGTTTTGATCATACCGATCATTTTTTTTGTTTGTAATTATTCGTAAACACGTACACAATAGAGTGTGAAAAATAGGGAATTGGGTAGCTACGGACACTTAAATGAAACACAGAAACAATATATAATTAATAAATTTTAATGAAATTACTCTTTCAGAAAATAAATATAAGAACTTCCTGAGTCATTTTAAATTAAAAAAAAATTGAAACACATTTCTTAAATGATTTTAGAAGAAAAATCTATGAACTGTAGCCTCTGTTTTTGCGCAATCAAAAAATTGCGAGTAGCGACGGGTATAGTTTCCAACGATCATCTAGGTGTTCGCATATCTTCACTTACATTATGCTAATAATATAAATTTGACAGTAACTTTTACGTATAAAATAGACGTCTCTTTATTTCATGAACTACTATAATCTCCATATCTGCAATAGTTATTTTTTATCGCCTGAAGAAGTTGCAAATTTAATAAATTTTTGCTTTACATGGCTGTCATTTTATTAAAAAAATGTTTTTCTACTTTATAATAGTTCACAAGATAGCCACTTTTATGTAGATTAAGATTATCTTCGATTTGTCTTTCCGATGAATATAACCACGTGAACTGTGACAGCCATTCAGAGAAACACGTAGCAAAACACACGTAATAAGTTGGTTAATATAAAAGATAATTGCACAAAAATTTTACTGTGATTTCGATTCTAAAAATCGCTTAAAAATTACGCCTCCGAGTGGGAATATTACATTAACCCTTTCAGTGTGGCAACACTTTTGACGAATGGGTCGCGTGTGCGCGGAATATTCTACTGTTTATGGCACTATGTACCACTATTCATGAAACGTGTGTACTCATCTATAGCGCTCAATTCATGGTACAAACGTGTATACATGCTCATAGCACCGAAACGATTAAAGGCCCTAATAGCTTTAACGTTTAAAAGGACGTGGGCACCAGGTCGTCGGACGTGAAGGTGTTAATTAAACGTATAATTTTAAACTGCTACGGAACAAAAAAACGGAGAATATCGTTTTTTCTTTTAGTGGAATGTGCGCGAGGTGGATATGGTCCGATTCACCGACACGTCTGTATATCTGTTCCCAGTGTGCAACTGCAATCTTCACGCGAAAAAGTGCAGATTCAACATGGACCTGTACAAGCTGTCGGGTCGTGTCAGCGGCGGCGTTTGTCTGCAGTGCCGGCATTATACAGCAGGAAGACACTGTCATTATTGCCGGGAAGGTTACTACAGGGACCCGGCGAGACCGATCACGCATCGCAAGGCCTGCAAAAGTAAGTAGTACTCTCTCCTCGTCCAGACATTAATCACTGCTAATTCGGAGGAGGCCTATTCCTGCCTACCTATTAATCAGGCATTACTCGCCGATGTTACTCGCATGCTCGCCCGGCGATTTATTAGAATTATTAATGGAATCACAATTCATTTACGAAACCGCGTGGAGCGCAGCGACTATACTGCCAGTTTCGGTGCAATTTCAACATATTTGCGATCGTTGAGAACATGAACTTTTGATGCAATGTTTATTGCGTAGTTAATTGTTCGAAATTTTTAATAGATGCCACGAATTTCTATTTAAATCCCGTTTATTTGATCCTCTTGCAGGTGACCATTTGGGCCAATATAGAGGCAATAGTGACACGAATATTTAAATTTTTGTTCTAAATTCTTTAGACATAGCTTCTGTAGTTCAGGATGTTTTAATAGTTCGATATTTTTTAGCGAGTTTCGTGTGTACATTCTATATAATTTGTGGAGTATTTATTGTTGTTACTTTGTAAATATAAGATGGGTCAGAAGTGACCCGACATCGGTTGGACAAGGGTTAGGGATACTTTGGAAGAATGTAAATTTGTATAAATTGAATAGATTGTATAGATCAACAATTGGGGAAGCAGTTAATCATTTCAATGCAAATAGAAGCAGCTCTACAGAGGATTGTCTAAAATTATTTAAAAAGTAGACCATTTTCTACCCCGCTATCTTAATATGGTTAAGTAGGTAAAGATCATATAGATCTTGCACATAGAATCTTGCAACCTTGTGTTCTCCAATTGTGACCACAGATTATAAATTATTAAACTAACATCTGGATTACTAAAGCACTAGTTTCCTCTTCTTTTCAACTCTACAGATAAATTCTAATCGTCCGAAGTCTATAATACCCTTTTCTTCTTTCACAATAGTCTATTATACTCATGACAGTTACGCAATGACATAAATCAAGAAACAAAGCATGCAGTCAGAAACTGTGTACTGTACTTGCTTTTGCGCATATAATTGTTTAAATAAAATGATAGCAATACGTATCGTGTACCCTGTAAAAACATTAAAAAATATCTAACATGGAAATTGATTAATTATGTATAAATGCGACAAGTATGGTGGCTCCGATAGTAAAGTTGTAAAACTGCAATTTTCTCTAATCTATAAGCTGAATGTATGACTTTATTGGTTTCTCACTATTTATTTAACTTACAAGGAAATTTCTTCGGTCATCTCAAAAGTTCGATTTTTTTGTAACTTTGCAGGTCTGTAGGGAACGTTTATTATTTTCTGGTTCTTTAGGGTGAAAACACCCCTTAAAGTTAAATGTGTTTTCCTATTTTCTTGTAAGTCTTGAGAACTACAGTAGATGTCAAATAATTGTTGGAACCAACATTTAGCTTTTTATGCTCTATAAGACTATGCAATAAAATTTTTCAAAATTTGTTTATTTATTTAAACAACAAATTTTTAACAATTTAGCTGGCGAATGAAATGCAGTGCAAAGTGACTTTATATTAATCGACAATATGGTTTTCTCCTATCCTGAAAACTTAAATTTTTGCAGTTTCATTTTACCAATTAACAAACAAATTTCAAACAGCTGTAAAATCAACAATTTTTTAAATTTTCAAAAATCCTTTGAGATACGTTTATATATCGATAAAGACTACAGCATATCCAAATTGGAACAAAATCCGAAATGGTGCTCCAAAAAGGTATCCGATTTCGCGTGGAATGACCCCATTGGAACATCGATATGGGGCAATCCACGCGAAATCGGACACTTTTTAGAGTAATATTTCGGATTTTGTTGACGCTTGGATATGTGTAGTTTTTAGTGATATAGACTAGTGAAAGAAAAACAACGCGTAAAAAATTTTAAATTACTGCAATTTATCTAAGATAAGGTCTTTTTCAATGTTGTGTAACTTTTATCATAAACGGTTTAATGTGACAGCTGCTTCTTGCGCGGATTTAACCACAATTCAATAATAAGTTAATTAATGTTTCGTTACCGCATGTAATAAGTTAGGGTTATATTCAACCACTGAATGTAAGTTGGGTGTTTGGGGTCATATGATCCCTCTCTAGTAGGACAAAATGATTCCAGGAATCATTTTACCCATATGCTATATTATTGTTTTTTATTTTAGTTATAACAATGCCCCGTCAGTATAAAAGAAAAACAACGCGTCAACGCTGTTTTTATTTCAATAAAATGTAATAACTGAAATGCTTTTTAATGTTCGTCGTATTTACTATCAGTAGGTATAAAATGATCCCCTGGGATCATTTTATATGTACAGGGTATCCCACCTAACTCTGCCACCCTTAATTATTCTCTTCTTTATCACAGTACAAACAAATGGTTCTGGAGAAAGTTAGTGTATTATAAGGGGGAAATTAGGCTGAGATTGAAGGTCATTTCAAGGTCATATCTTCTGAGATCTCTCTAATGGTAACGTTTTTTTAACTGGAATGTCCTATTTTTTTGTTTCCCATTACAAAGAGGAGATCAAAACATATCCAACAATGTATCACACTATGACCTTGAAATGACTTTGGACTGAAAATGTCGCACATGACTGGTTGAAGTGGAAGCTCAGAGAAAATGAATTGCAGAAACAAAATAAACACCATAATCGGATTACTTAGTATTTTAGTGTATGTTCAAAGTATTGTCACCCCGTAGTGTGATACATTGTTTGATACGTTTCGATCTCCTCTTTGTAATGGCAAACAAAAAAATAGGGCATTCCATTTAAAAAAAACGTTACCATTAAAAAAATCTCAGAAGTTATGACCCTGAGATGACCTTCAATCTCATAGCCTAATTTCCCCCCCTAAAATACACTAACTTTCTCCCGAACCATTTTTCTGTACTGTGACAAATAAGAGAATAATTAAGGATGGCAGAGTTAGGTGGGACACCCTGTGTACATTATAAAATGATCCTTAAGTATGCCTTCAAAGAACCGTAAATAAAAAACATAATTGATCACGTAGCTAAATTTTATTTAAGCCAATGATAACATAAATAGACTAACTTACAAAAACTATTTTACTTTTATTTAAATAATGAGCATTGATATTTTTTATATAAATTTCGCCTTAAAGGGAACGTTTTAGACACCTTTCCCCTACTCTGTTTACCCTAGCGGTTCGTTCTGCGAGTGGAGTCCAGTCATTACCCCGGTTATTGCTATTAATTTTCAACCGCCCGGTACAGTTACAAAGTGGCTACCAGCGGCGAGCGTATCCTTGCCGTAACCCCCGCCAATCCCTGGGTTCGATTTATGTAGGTTTGTCTAGGGCCAGAAACTACCGCGGGATAACGATCTCCCGGCGCGAGAAAGCACGTCGGAACCGTATTCATGCTCGCGCCGATGGTACACACTCGTGTGCACCACCGTTGTGCATCCACTGTACGTGGTCACCGTACTACATTCCATTCGTGTGATTGTAACACAGTGGATTTGTTGTCTAGCAGAACCTCTCCCCCACATCCACTAAATTAGCAGTCGACCACGAATAACTGCGCGACTGATTCGCCTCTCAATGGACACGGGCCTGTTGACGCGAGAAGCTTTTTTTTCTTTCGTGGACGACAAAGCATTTTCCCGTATTCTGTGTCTTCTTTACGCGTTGTACTAATTGAATTTATGAGTTTGTTGGACACTTGAGATTGGACTGCGGATTTTATACGTTTATAGCGTATTTATAATCGTCCGGAAGAGAGTGCTGTAAAAAGTTTTGTCGTTGTTTAATGAGGTTTTTATTCTGTTTGGCGATTGATAGACAGATTTCTGGTTGATTGCTGTTTCTGTGAATTAGTCCGTGAATATCGATATTTGCGTAGATATTCAAAGTTTTGGTCATAACGCTTCGATATGTCCATGTTTGGAATTAACTTCTTTTTGTGAAACGTCACTTTTGCGCGTAAGTAGATTTATAGTGTTTTGTGCGTACTCGTGTGTGCTGTGAAATTCTGTTGTCTGATCAGTAGGCTATGGAACTGCAGGCAAAATAATATTTTTCGAAGTTATTTGTAAAGGCAGGGTGAATTTTCTTCCATTTCTTAAGGGTTTTATTATGACAAGAATAAGACAGAAAATGTATTAGATCTGATGTTAGCTTCATTATTTATTATATTATACATAGTATATGGTATAGATGCATATAATCCGTGGTCTACTCATCAATTTAAATTAATCCTATTGTAATTATTCGAATAATTTCAACAAGTTAAGAATGTAGGACACTAGTAACAAATTGTTTCGTGTATGTATCAACGGTTTAAAACATTAAACAAAATTAAATAATTATTCGTTATGGTAGGCACTGCTAAATGGACACTTTGCATTTGTCACACATATACATATAAATTATTTCAGCACTTTCTGCATCTCTTTCTTAATGTTCCACAATAATACATCATTATGTTATCTCTTCTCATTTCTTGAGGGACTTTATTTTTATTTTAAAAATCGATAAATTTAAAAGAAAAGTTAATTATTCATCTATGAACAACAATTCCTATATCTTTAGAAAAATTCGATAACAGAATTATGACAGATGTAAAGCAAAATTCTTGCCATTACCGAGGGGGAATTTGCATATTTTTCGCGGCAATTAGCAAATCATTAATATTCGTCACCTAATCGGCAACAGTTCTACTTACGTGCCTTTTACATTCGAAGTAGCTATTAATATTAAACTGTTTCCTATACAAGGTTTACTATTATGCTGGGGCACATCAAGATCGTTGAGGCGTTGGGGTCATAGTTGGGCAGAATTTTATTCGAATGATACCCACTGAAAATCAGCAGTACCCAAAAGTTGTTGTTCTGAGCTTTAAACAGTTAATGAGATTAAATAATTGTTCGACGAATGTCGACTCATTCATAAAGAAGTAATATTTTATTATAAAAATTGAAATTTCCACGTTTAAACAATTAAAAATGACGAAATACTTTTATCTTTTATTCGTTATTCGAAACTTTTT